GATAGCAGAAACAGATGAGAGGTATGCCGTTCCATTATGGGGGTGGGGTAGGGTTGATCTCTCTTTCTGCTCCATCCATTGTTGGCCCCTATTAAACCAGGGGTGGGGAGTTGGCAGCTCCTGAGCTGTTATTGGATTGTAGTTTCATCCTCCTTAACTAGCATTGCCACTAAGAAGTGAGGGAATTGTAGTCTAAAAACATCAGTAGCACCATCTTGCTATTGAGGGAGATGGTCAAGAGAAACCAGCTGCCCCTTCAGTGTATCATGACCTTGCTAATATCATCTCTGTTCCCTCTTGCAGAATAAAGCAAAGGAAATGAAAGCATCTGGCTGTGATGTCAACTTGGAGGTTTCAGAGAATGCTTTGCTTGCTCTCCAAGGTAAATATAATCTTTACAGTGGTTGCCCCACCACCATTGCAGGGAACACAAGGAGTACCATATGTTGATACCATGCCCAGGCATTTGCCTTGTAAGAATGTTTCAGTACCACTCATATCTCAGTACCTCTGATGGAATAGCATCTCTCAACCAACCTAAGCCACAGCTTCTCTGCTTATCTTTTTGGGAAAGGTTATAGTTGCTTTCTCTCACCGTTTTGTTTGCCATGTCCAAAACATTTAATTGCTGTGTTCAATTTGGTCAGTAAGGGCAGATTACAGTGGGCCCTTGGTATCTGATGAGGTTTGGGTCCTGGGCCATCTGTGGATACCAAAATTCATGGATACTCATGTCCCATTAAATACAGTGGCACAGTAAGATGGTGTCCCTTATATAAAATGGTAAAATCAAGGTTTATTTGTTTTTGTTTATCTATTTTAAAGATATTTTCAAACTGTGGATGCTAAATCCATGGATGAAAAATCCATGGATATGGAGGGCTGAATGTATTATTAACCGATATGGTATTAACTGATATGGTACCAACTGATCTGGGCCTTTAGGGTGGACATTCCCACTTTGTGCTGTTCCCCAAACCTAAGAGCCCTCCTGGATCAGAGCATGTCAAGTCCAGTATTCTGCTTTGACCCATGGCCAACCCATTTACTTTTGCAGTTCTTATAAACAGGGCATGATGGCAACTGCCTTTTTTTCTTGTTTGTTTCTGCACTGATATTCAGAAGAGGAGCATGGGCCACCCAGTGTAGCAGTT